GGGGGGGGGCTCGTCCTGGCACAGGGGAGCAGGACGGGGATGGAGAGTGGGAGCCCGGAGGTGATAGGGGGTCAGGGCTGTGGAGCCACCAGCTGCTCCCCCCCGGCTGGAAGAGGCACCCGGGACCCCATGGGGGGGTGAGATGGGGTGGCAACGGGCTCCTTCCTTTTTGGGGGGGCTGGGGGATCTCCCCCCGGGGCGGGATGGCTGGGCATGGGGCAGCTGGGCATCTTGGGGTCCAGGTCTGCTCTGGGGGGTCGGTGATGGCACAGGGTGGCACAGGCCTGGCTGGTGGCCCGTGGCTTGGAGCTGAGTCTCTGGGGCAGGGTCCCCTTCCAGCGGTGGGTTTTAACCCTCCCCCCCCCCCAGACACTGGTTGTGCTGGTGGGACCCCCGTCCTGTCCCCTCCTGCAGGAGCGGGGTCTCTCCACCCCCTGTCCCTGTGCCATGCCCTGCCCTTGGCACCTCCATCATGCTCTCGGCTCAGCCCGCACTTAAATATCACTTTTTCCAGCCCGTTTTAAGCCTGGCTTCCCCTGGCTGGAGCTCAGGGCAGGGCTGCCAGGGCACCTGGGCTAGTGTTAGCCAGCCAGGGCTAGCAGGGCAGGGGCTGGGGCTACTTTGGGGAGGGTGAAGCCCGGCTGCAGGGACCATCTCCCCGTCCTGTCGCTGCCCAAAAGCCTGGCCAGAAGCTGGTGCCCACAGAGGGGTGTGTGGCTCCTTGTCCGGGGGGCGGTGGGCAAGTGGCGTGGCCACTCCACGGGCAGGGACAGTGGCCACAAGGCAGGGGGGGGACTCCCTGTGTGCCCACCCCCCAGCACTGCACGCACCCACGGAGTGGGGCTCCACTAACGAAGGCGTCCCGCTTCCCGGGTTTGTGTTGGTAATTGGATGAAACAGTTACAGCATCCGACTTGCCCTATAAATTAAAGATTAAGGTTAATTACAGCCATGAAACCTCTAAGTCCTTAAGCACGGAGCGCTGAGCCTTTGCCGGGGGACGGCTCCGTGCGCGGCTCAGCCTTAATTTTGGAGCTGGAATTCCGGCAGCTCCGCGCGGGAGGCGATGGGGAGCGGTGGGCACCGTGCCCCGGGGCAACCAGACCCTCGGGGGCTCCTTTCGGTGCCAGCTGGTGGCCCTGGCATCGGGCTGGGCTGGCTCCTGTGCCAGGGTGGGAGTCCTCTCTGGCTTCGGGATGCGCTGTGAGCCTCCGTGGGGATTTTGGGGCGGGCGTGCAGCCAGGACACGGGCTGAAACCCAAATCCAGCAGCATCGATCCCGCGTGCCGGGGGAGCCCGGTGCCCATTCGGTCGGGAGGAGAGGGTGATCCCTGGCACGCTGGCTCTGCCTGGCCACCAGCCCGGCTTTGGTGGCCCCGTGGGTGCCTCAGGGTCTGCTACGGGGGGGGAAGGAGCCCTTGAGAAACCCCAGGACTTTTTGCCGGTGACTGTGATGGTGTGGGGTGTGAGGAGGAGAGCTCCAGGACGGGGCTCTGTGGTTTTTTGGGGCTTCTCCCAGCAGTTTTCCCCACGTGGGTTTGTTTTTCCACCCTCCCCGCAGCTGCTTGGCTGAAGTTACCGGCCACGGGTGCCGGGTAGGGCCGGTCCCTCACCGGTGCCCGTGTGCCCTGCGCTCCCAGCGGGTCGGATCCCCCAGGAAAAGTCTTGGCATCACGGTTGGAAAAAGCCTCTGCTGTGAGCGTGGTCCTTGCTCAAGGCTTGTGAGCCTCACCGAGGCCATGCCGAGCAGCCCGGGTGGTTAAATCCCTCATGCCAAGAGCAGTGTCCAACCAGGCTGTGGGCATGGTCCCTCCTTGGTGTCCCCTGTCCTGGGAGGATGCTCCAGGGCAGCGCTGGTGCCAGTTTTTCCCTGCCTGCATCCTCCTGTGCCCTCCCAAACACGGGGATCCCCCTGCAGCACTGGGAACCTGCTGGAGGGATGGGATGGGGATGGAATGGGATGGGGGTGCCCAGCATAGCTGTGCTCCTGGCTGGGGCCATTCCTACAGCTCCGGGCAGGAAACCTGGAGCATCTCCTGGCTCTGCCCCGAGGAATGCCACCCCGTGGGTGCCAAGTTTCCTGTGCCCAGATCCATGCTGGATCCATCCCTGGAAGTCTTGCCTGTCTGTGCAGCATCACCTGCACTCGGCTCCATCACCTCTTCCTCCCCACCCTCCCGGCTGCTCCCCTCTGCTGGGGTTGTTGTTGTGGGGGGGGATGGACACCCCCTATAACCCCTCTGCCTCCCCCCCACAGGTGCTGTCGGGCTGTGCCATCATCGTCCGAGGACAGCCCCGAGGAGGGCCCCCCCCCGAGCGCCAGATCAACCTCAGCAACATCCGCGCCGGCACCCTCGCCCGCCGTGCCGCCGCCGGCCAGCCGGATGCCAAGGACACCCCGGATGAGGTAGGTACCCCCAGGATGGGTCCCCAGGCTGCTGACCCCCCCTCCATCCCCTGCCACCCCATGGGGAACATCCAGCTCCCTCCCGGCCAGTGCTACCCCCCTGCCTGGCTTGGGGACACGTGGGGTGCTGTGGCTGCAGGACACAGGATGAAACAGTCCCTTTGGGCATCCTTTAAGAGATCCTTTCCCTCCTTCGTCCCTCACAGTGTGGATTTTTGGGGTGGAATTCTCCTGCCTCACTCCACTGTGGTCACACACGGGGCTGGGATGGGGCTAGGTCTGCAGGACCAGGGGAAGCTGGTGGTGCCTCCAGGCTTATCACAGAATGGTTTGGGTGGGAAGAGACCTCAAAGCCCATCCAGAGCCACCCCCTGCCCTGGGCAGGGACACCTCCCACCGCACCACGTTGCTCCAAGCCCCCTCCAACCTGCCCTTGAACCCCTCCAGGGATGGGGCAGCCACAGCTTCTCTGCCCAACCTGGGCCAGGCTCTCACCACCCTCCCACCAAACAAGTTCTTCCCCACAGCTCAGCTCCATCTCCCCTCTTGCAGGGTCCAACCCTTCCCCCTCCTCCTAGGGCTCCCCTCCCTCATCCAGAGTCCCTCCCCAGCTTTCATGGAGCCCCCCCCTTGAGGGACTGGAAGGGTCTCCAAGGTCTCCCCGGAGCCTTCTCTTCTCCAGGCTGAACCCCCCCAACTCTCTCAGCCCCCCCTCCCAGCAGAGGGGCTCCAGCCCTCCCAGCATCTCCGTGGCCTCCTCTGGCCCCCTCCAACAGCTCCGTGTCCTTCTGCTGTTGGTGGCCCCAGAGCTGGAGGCAGCACTGGGGGTGGGGGGTCTCCCCAGAGCGGAGCAGAGGGGCAAAATCCCCCCCCTCACCCTGCTGGGGATGCAGCCCAGGATGTGGGGGGCTTTTGGGGCTGCCAGCACACCTTGGGAGGGCTCTGCCTGCCCCAGGGCTGGGGGCAGAGGAGGGAATGGGGGTGTTTGGTTGGCAGGTTGGGTGCAGAGGTTGGGAGCAGTGGGGTTTGTGTTGGGGGGAGCCCGGCCACCCATCCTCCCAGCCCCGGGGGTGGCGCTGAGCGCTGGCAGCTAATTGCTCTCCCTGGGGAGTTTGTCTTCTAAACACTGCTTCAGCCTTTAAATGTCACTTTTTTTTTTTAAAAAGAAAAAAAGAAAGAAAAAATTACGCCTGTCAGGTTTGCTAATTGTTTGTGAGCACGTCATGTTCTCTCCTCCGGACCGCGTTCCCCACCCACCCGCTGTGCCGGAGCGGGGCTGAGCTCGCCGGGGCTCCCCTGTCTCCCTGCCGCTGTGCTGGGGGACACCAGGACCCCCTTCTCCTGGCCACCGTGTCTGGTCTGGTCCTGCTCTGCTCCTTCACCACGGGGAGCTGGAGGAGCCACCACTACATCCCTGGGAGCTGGGGGTGGTCTAGCCTCCCCCAGCGTCGCCGCAGCTCCATCCTTGCTCCCCCTGTCCAGGGCTTGGGTGGCTGGGTCCATCTGTGCTCAGGGAGCACGATGCTGGCTGGAAAACCACCCATCACCCCTTTTTTGGGGCTGGAGGGGGAGAAAGAGGGGGTGTTCCTCCTGCAGAGTAACAGGGTCTCTTCCTCTGCGAGCTCCGTGGGCTGCAATCGGCGCGGTCCTGGGCTAATGCGGCACATCTGGAGGAGAAGGCTTTTTCCCCCCGGGATGGGGAGGCTCTGGGCTCCCCCCCGGCTGCTTTTCACCCCTGGGCTCTTCTTTCCCTCCAGCCCTGGGGCTTCCCAGCTCGTGAGTTCCTGCGGAAGAAGCTGATTGGGAAGGAGGTCTGCTTCACCGTGGAGTACAAGACCCCGCAGGGCCGGGAGTACGGGATGGTCTACCTGGGGAAAGGTGAGTGCTGGGGTTGGGGGGGCTGGTGGGCAGCGTGGGGTGCTTGCAGCCAGAACTACTCTTCCATAGGTTGGTTTGGGACACGGTGGGTGGCAGAAGGGTGCATGCCCAGTTTTTGGTGGAGCTCCAGCTCTCGGAGGGGAGCATATCCCAGTTGGAGCCCGTCCGCGCTCTCTGGAGCTGCAGCTGCAGGTGGTCGTGAGCCGTGGTGCTAGGAGTGCTAGGAGAAGTCCCATAACTTGTGTTCCTCTCTGGCTGATGGAAATCACCCAAAAGGCTTCCATGAGGACACAGCAGAGAGGTAGAAGCAAAGCCTCTCAGCCCAAGGGCTGTTTGGTGCCTGCAGGACTCACTGTCCCTGGCTTAGAGTAGCCTGGGACATGGTGGCCTTCTTGGTGTTGGTGTGGGTGGCCTTTGGCTCCGGGTAGGTCCCCTCTCATGAGGGTGCTGTGTCCCCCCTGCCGACAGCCCTGGCTGATTTTGGTTCCATCCAGGTGGGTGGAGGAGGCTTTTGGGCTCTTGCTCCTCATGGTTACTCCTCAGCCGTCTGGTCTGGTGGGAGAAATGAAGTGGGAAAGTGGCTTAGAGGTGACTACGTCTCATTGCCACGGCTCTGCTGGGCTCGGTGTGGCTCCTGGTTGGACTTGCTGTGGGTTTTGAGATCTGCTTGGATGTAGGTGGGCTCCTTGGGGGGTGGGTGCTCACCAGGACCCAGCTTGTCCCCGGGTGCTGCCGGGTGCAGGGTCACTGGGCAGATGGGTGCAGCACCTTGGCACGGGGCAGGAGATGTGCCAAGTGAATAGTGCACCTCTGTGCCACCAGAGGGTCAGTGTGGAGCTGGGACAACCCCACCACTGGCACCCCAGAATGATGTGGGGTTGTCAGGGACCTCTGGAGAGCACCCAGGCCAACCCCCTGCCAGAGCAGGGGCGCCCACAGCAGCTCCCACAGCAACGTCTCCAGGGGGGTTGCAATGTCTCCAGAGAAGGAGACTCCACCACCTCTCTGGGCAGCCTCTGCCACCCTCACACCAAACAACGGCCTCCTCATGGTGTTCCCATGGAGCTTCCCCTGGTCCAGTTGGTGCCCGTTCCCTCTTGGCCTGGCCCTGGGCACCACTGGGAAAAGCCTGGCCCCATCCTCCTGACACCCCCCCTGGAAGGATTGCCAGGCCTTGAACACATCCCCCCTCCCTCTGCTCTTCTCCACACTAAACACACCCAAGTCCCTCAGCCTTTCCTCAGCACAGAGATGCTCTAGTCCCCTCACCATCTTGGCAGCCCTTTGCTCTGCCCTCTCCACCACTTCCCTGGCCTTCTGGAACTGGGGAGCCCAGCACTGGTCCCAGTGCTGCAGCTGGGGCCTCCCCAGGGCAGAGCAGAGGGGCAGGATGACCTCCCTCCACCTGCTGGCCACGCTCTTCCTGATGCCCCCCAGGATGCCCTTGGCCGCCTTGGCCACCAGGGCCCATTGCTGGCTCCTGGGCATCCTGGTGTCCCCCAGGACTCCCAGGTCTTCCTCCCCAGAGCTGCAATATTTGGGGTACAACTGGGGTCTGGGTCAGGCTCAGCCGGAGCTCCGTGGCAGCCCCCTCTCCGGTGGGAAGCTGAGTGGGGGTAACTCCCCATGGCTGGGGGAAGGAGGGAAGGACCAAGTGGAGCTCAGGGGCTATTGAGTTCTGGTTGTGTGTCCCCAGGAGTTGCTGGTGCCTCTGGCTGGCCAGGATGGGGATTGGTAGCCATCAGCTCTGCTGCACGGCCACAAAGCCCAGCATCTCTGCTGGCTCCTGTTCCCTGCCCCAGAGCATCAGCGGGGGCATTTGTGGCCGTGCAGCTCCCCAGGAGGCTGGAGCTTTCTCCTCAGCGGTTTTTGGGCTTTGCTGGATGTGGCCAGTGTGGCTCTGGGTGGTCAATAGCCCTGCTTGGACCCCCTTTCCACTGGCACCTCGTTGCTACCATGAGGGTGACCCAGGGTGGCTTCCCATGGCCACTGCATCCCAGTAGGCTCCAGCCAGCATCTCCCCTGTCCCTGGGGGGGTCCCCATCCAGAGAGGGAACGTGAGACCCCCATGGTCCCTAGAGGGGGAGCACAGCCCCATGTGCTGCCAGGATGAGCCTTTTAACCCCCCGAGACAAATAACTGGGTGTAAATGTCACCTCCAGGCTCATTCCCCAGCTCCCAGTTTGCTTGTGGGGGGACTGGGAAGCTCTTTGGGACGGGGATCCCCTCCTGCAGGGATTGTGGTTTTGGAAAAGTGCTGCTCTGGGCTTTCCCACCCCATCCATCATCCTTCAGCAGGAGCCGTGGCAGGTCCCCAGGGCTCAGCCTGTGACAAATAAAGCTTGAAAGAGGTTTTTGGTGTTGGGTGACACCCCACGGCGGGGGGGTGCTCCCTCCCGGTCACCGGGAGCCTTGTCCTCTGCCAGGGTGAGGGCTCCTGTGCCCTGCCTCCCACGTAGGTGTCGTCCTGGTTGTCACAGATCCCAGCCTGTCACACCGCGGAGGTGAGAAATGAAGCATTAAAACGTTTCCTGGTGAAGTTTGTCAAGGTTTAAACACCGTTAATATGGAAACGCTGCGGCAGCTTCCCCGGCAGGGATGCAGCAGGTTGTCTGCAGCTCTAGGCTTTGGGGAGCTGGGGGTTTTGGGGGGCTTGGGGGCTTGTTGGCACTCACCGGTGGTGGCCAAGCCAGAGTGGAGGTGCTGGGGAATCGTGGGGGTCTGCACGGTGCCCTCCACCCCCTCCCAGCTGCTTGGGACCGTGTAATCACCTGCCTTCCCTCCAGCGGGGGGTTTCTGCCTGAATCCTCTTGTTTATCCACTGTCTCTGACCCAGGACCCACCCTGGACCGTGGTGTTTGTCCCCCACCTCCCCACGGGCTCTGGCTCTTGGTAGCCCTGAGCCCCAGGTGTTTCTGCAGAGGAGTCATGGAATCACAGAGGGGTTTGGGTTAAAGGGAGCTTAAAGCCCCCCCAGTGCCACCCCCTGCCCTGGGCAGGGACACCTCCCACCAGCCCAGGTTGCTCCAAGCCCCCTCCAACCTGCCCTTGAACCCCTCCAGGGATGGGGCAGCCACAGCTTCTCTGCCCAACCTGGGCCAGGCTCTCACCTCCCTCCCACCAAACAAGTTCTTCCCCACAGCTCAGCTCCATCTCCCCTCTTGCAGGGTCCAACCCTTCCCCCTCCTCCTAGGGCTCCCCTCCCTCATCCAGAGTCCCTCCCCAGCTTTCCTGGAGCCCCCCCCCTTGAGGGACTGGAAGGGGCTCCAAGGTCTCCCCGGAGCCTTCTCTTCTCCAGGCTGAACCCCCCAACTCTCTCAGCCCCCCCTTCAAGCAGAGGGGCTCCAGCCCTCCCAGCATCTCCGTGGCCTCCTCTGGCCCCCTCCAATGGGTCCATGTCCTTCTGCTGTTGGTGGCCCCAGAGCTGGACACAGTGTTCCACGTGGGTCTCCCCAGAGGGGCAGAATCCCCCCCTCACCCTGCCTGGCCAATGCTGCTTCTGATGCAGCCCGGGAAGGATGTGTTGTGCAGCGGTGCCCGTTGTAGCTCATGGGCGCTGAGGGTGTCCCCTTCCCATGGAGATGGTCCTGGGTGACAGCAAGCCTTGCTGTCCCCTAGTGCATGGGAGCAACGTGCCACCTTCCCACTTTCTTAGCCCCGGTCTGGGGGAAACGGTGTCCCAAGGAGAGCCTTGGGCTGCTCTGCTGGATGGACCATGGAGGCCACGTGCTGCTGGGGCACCAGGCTGGTGGTGGGAGGCTTTGGCTCCCGGATTGCTCCAGCACTTAGAGGTGGAATCATCTTGGGAGCTTTTGTCTGGGCTGTCCCAAGTGTGATAATGGCTCATCTTGCTGACTCTTCTCCTCCTCTCCCTGCAGACACCAGTGGTGAGAACATCGCCGAGTCCCTGGTGGCCGAAGGGCTGGCCTCCCGCCGGGAAGGGATCCGAGCCAACAAGTACGTACATGGGTGCCTTCCTGCGCTGAGCCCCTGCTGATGCTCTGTGGGCAATGACCCGGGCACAGAGAAGGTTGGGCTCCTCAGCTTTGGTTGACCACCCTCCTCTGCCCCAGGGCTCCCTGCAGTGCCCGGGTTTCACAGACATCGGTGTCCCGGCATGATGACCCCTTGGCTTTAGGATTGGTGTCTCCAGGGGCTGGGGAGGGGGAGCTGGGCATCTCCTTGCCCTGGATGCCGAAGGAGCGGAGCAGAAAGTCTTCTGAAGCTCTTGGTCGCTGGCAAATGACGCCTGGTGTGGAGCTGAGGGGCTTTAATTCACGCTGGAGAGGTGGTGATGTGACACTCCTGCCCCTCGTCCGGGCGGTGCGATGCTGTTGGAGCCGATGCTGGAATCATCCTGGGAGCGTTTTCCCCATCCTGGAGCGAGGGAGAAGCCTGGCATCAGCCATGGTGTGCCCATGTCCCCATGGCACAGCCTCAGGCCCCGGCAATCCGGTTCCAGGGGTGCCAGTGGTTTTTGTGGCAGGGCTGTCAATACCGGTTGGGTGCTGTTTCCATCCCCACGCCTGTTGGGCTGGAAACGTGCCCGTGTGGCTTCCTAAAACTGTCCCTGGCACACTGGGACACTTGCCACCCAGTGTTTTGGGTGGTGCAGCCCATAAACAGGTTCGTTGAGCAAACAGCGGGCACTGCCAAGGGCGCGGATGGGTTATTTTATGCCCAGACCTGTCTGTGCTGGAACTTCTACTGGCAGGTCCTGCCTGCTGCCTGCCCGGGGACATTTGTGACTGTCCCTGTCCCCAAGCTCTTTGGGAACGTGCCTGTACCAACTTTAGAATCACAGAAACGTGGAGTTCTTTAGGTTGGAAGAGACCTCTAAGATCGTTGAGTCCAACCAAGTTAATCAGACACTGCCAAGTTTTTCGCTCTGAGGGTGGTGAGAGCCTGGCCCAGGTTGGGCAGAGAAGCTGTGGCTGCCCCATCCCTGGAGGGGTTCAAGGGCAGGTTGGAGGGGGCTTGGAGCAACCTGGGCTGGTGGGAGGTGTCCCTGCCTCAATGATCTTTAAGCTCCCTTCCCACCCAAACCTTTCTGATTTTAGAAAGTCCAGCACTAACCCCTGTCCCTCAGCACCACGTCTGCCCGGCTTTGAAATCCCTCCAGGGATGGGGACTCCACCACTGCCCTGGGCAGCCTCTGCCAAGGCTTCACAGCCCTTTTGGGGAGGACATTTTCCCCAATCTCCATCCTAAACCTCCCCTGGGGCAACTTGAGGCCGTTTCCTCTTGTCCCATTGCCTGTGGGTTGGGAGAAGAGCCCGACCCCCCCTGGCTGCCCCCTCCTTTCAGGGAGTTGGAGAGAGCAAGAAGGTCTCCCCTCAGCCTCCTTTTCTCCAGGCTGAACCCCCCCAGCTCCCGCAGAAGTTCTCCAGACCCTTCTCCTTGGTCTCCAACCCCCTCCCCAGCTCCGTTGCCCTTCTCTGGACACACTCCAGGCCCTCAAGGTCTTTTTTCATAGAATCATAGAATGGTTTGGGTTGGAAGGGACCTCAAAGATCATCTAGTTCCACCCCCCCTGCCCTGGGCAGGGACACCTCCCACTAGAGCAGGTTGCCCGAAGCCCCATCCAGCCTGGCCTTGAACCCCTCCAGGGATGGGGCATCCACAACCTCCCTGGGCAACCTGTTCCAGGCTCTCACCACTCTCACTGTAAAGAATTTCTAGTATCTGACCTAAATCTCCCCTCTTCCAGTTGAAAACCATTACCCCTTGTCCTGTCACTGCACTTCCTGACAAAGAGTCCCTCTCCAGCTCTCCTGTAGCTCCCTTCAGATATTGAAAGGCTGTTAAGGTCTCCTGGGAGAGGTGAGGGTCCCAAAACTGGACCCAGCCCTCGAGTTGGGTCCTCACCAGTGCCCAGCCCAGGGGGATGATCGTACTGGGGGGACCTGGGCAACCTCACGGCGACCTTCTAGTAGCTCCAATCCTTCAAGCTCCTCCTGCAAGAGCACCCAGCAGGTTGCATCCCCAGTGGAGCTGGTCACCCCAATCCCCCCGGGATGAGAGTGGAGGATGCAGCCCCCTGGGGTTGGGGATGCTGCTGCCAGGAGCTCCATCACCGTTGTGTTGGGGCTGTGAGCACAGGGCTGGGCTTCCTGTCATTAGACATCACCGGGAGCACCGCGCTGCTCGTGTTTGCTCTCCTAATTCAAAGGGGGTGTTAATTAACGGGTGTGTGAGGGGACTCTCAGCCACTCACTTGTCAGCTGCTTGAGCCGGGCACTTGTGTGGAAATTCAGGATTCATCAGGTTGCAGCTTTTCCCTGAGCTGAAGAATCACAGAATCATGGAATCACAGAAGGGTTTGGGTTGAAGGGAGCTTAAAGCCCCCCCGGTGCCACCCCCTGCCCTGGGCAGGGACACCTCCCACCACACCACGTTGCTCCAAGCCCCCTCCAACCTGCCCTTGAACCCCTCCAGGGATGGGGCAGCCACAGCTTCTGGGGGCAACCTGGGCCAGGCTCTCACCACCCTCCCACCAAACAAGTTCTTCCCCACAGCTCAGTTCAATCTCCTGTTTTTCAGCTTAAAACCCTTCCCCCTCCTCCCATGGTTCCCCTCCCTGATTGAGAATTGAGGGACTTGAGGGTCTCCAAGGTCTTCCCAGAGCCTTCTCTTCTCCTCAACTGGAGGAAATGTGTTATCCTCCTCAATTTTAGGGGGGGGTTGGGTGTGTGTGCCCTGACATTGATGGTGCTGCCTTTGTGCTGGAGAGCCCTGCTGTGATGTACGTTGCGCTGCCCTCAGCAGCTGGAAGCATCGCTCACCGGCTCACCCAGGCGCTGCCTTTTCTCGAGGCGAGCGCTCAAATCGTTAAAGCATCCAGGAAAGTGCCCGGAAAGATGGATGTTCTTGGTAATAAAACATCACAGGCAGCGGCGGCGCCCTGCCTGCCCCGGGGCCTGGCCTCACCACCTTCCCCTCCTGTCCTTGCAGCCCCGAGCAGAGCAGACTGGCCGAGCTGGAGGAACAAGCCAAGAGTGCCAAGAAGGGGATGTGGAGCGAGGGGACGGGCTCCCACACCATCCGGGACCTCAAGTACACCATCGAGAACCCCCGCCACTTCGTGGACTCCATGCACCAGAAGCCAGTCAATGGTAAGCTGGCTCCATCTCTGCTCCTGGGGTCACCCCATCACCTCCTCTGCGGCCTCGGGGGGATGGCCACGCTGTTGGGGTGCTGTTCCCTGCACCCTCTCGCTGCAGAGGATGGAAGAGGCATGGGTCTGGCTCCGTGGGTCCTGCCAAGCCCCTCTGCAGCAGCTCCAACCTCTGCTTCTGCTCCACAGCCATCATAGAGCACGTCCGGGACGGCAGCGTGGTGAGAGCCCTCCTCCTCCCCGATTACTACCTGGTCACTGTCATGCTCTCGGGCATCAAGGTGAGACCCGGCTGGCACCCTCAGTGCTCCTCTGTGCAGCAAGTCCTCTCTTGAATTCACACCCTTGTTCCTCCTACGTCCTGGATGGCATCTTGTTCCTCCAGAGTGTCACCCCACCGCTCAACTTGGTGTCATCTGCAGACTTGCTGAGTGCTCTGCCCTCCCCTTCCCCTCAGTCCCACTGTCCGTGTCATTGATGAGGGTATTCATAGAATCACGGACTGGTTTGGGTTGGAAGAGACCTCAAAGCTTCCCCAGTGCCACCCCCTGCCCTGGGCAGGGACACCTCCCACCAGCCCAGGTCCCTCCAAGCCCCCTCCAACCTGCCCTTGAACCCCTCCAGGGATGGGGCAGCCACAGCTTCTCTGCCCAACCTGGGCCAGGCTCTCCCCACCCTCCCACCAAACAAGTTCTTCCCCACAGCTCAGCTCCATCTCCCCTCTTGCAGGGTCCAACCCTTCCCCCTCCTCCTCGGGCTCCCCTCCCTCATCCAGAGTCCCTCCCCATCTCTCCTGGAGCTCCTTGAGGGACTGGAAGGGGCTCCAAGGTCTCCCCTTGAGGGACAGGAAGGGGCTCCAAGGTCTCCCCGGAGCCTTCTCTTCTCCAGGCTGAACCCCCCAACTCTCTCAGCCCCCCCTCCCAGCAGAGGGGCTCCAGCCCTCCCAGCATCTCCGTGGCCTCCTCTGGCCCCATCCAACAGCTCCGTGTCCCCCCAAGCCCTTCTGGGCAGGGCTGCTCCCCATCCCTCCATCCCCAGCCTGGGCTGGGACCGGGGGCTGCCCCCACCCAGGGGCAGGACCCCACATTTGGCCAGATGGAACCCCACGAGGGTCACAGGGACCCACTTCTCCAGCCTCTCCGGGTCCCTCTGGATGCCATCCTGTCCCTCCGGCGTGTCACCCCACCGCCCAGCTTGGTGTCACCCACAAACTTGCTGAGGGTGCCCTCGATCCCACTGTCACCCTTCCTCCCCGGGGAGGTTTCCCACCCCCTTGCCGAGGTTTTAGAGGTTTTAGGGGCCAGCCCGTGCCCTGACAGCCCCCCCTCTTCCACAGTGCCCCACGTTCAAGCGGGAGGCGGACGCCACCGAAGTCCCCGAGCCCTTTGCGGCCGAAGCCAAGTTCTTCACAGAGTCGCGGCTGCTGCAGAGGGATGTGCAGATCGTCCTGGAGAGCTGCCACAACCAGAACATCCTGGGCACCATCCTGCACCCGGCAAGTGGGGCCAGAGGGGTGGGAGAGGGTCCTGGAGGGCGGTGGGGCTGCTGCTTGTCCTCGGCTGGAGATGCTGAAGGTGGTTGCGAGGTCCAGGTGCCTCCGGTGGGGGCTCAGGACAACTGGGAGTTGTGTGCTCCTTACTGGTGGGGGACCACGGTCCATCTGGGCAGCCCCCGAGGTGGGTGGGCATCGCTGGGGTGGCCTCTGAGAGCCCTGGGGGTGCTGTGGTTGGGCTTTTTTGGGGGGACAAAAGGACCTGGACAGGCTGGAGAGGTGGGGCCAGGTGAACCTCATGAGGTTCAACAAGAGCAAATGCAAGGTTCTGCACCTGGGCTGGAACAATCCTCACCATCAGTACAGACTAGGGGGTGAGGGATTGGAAAGCAGCCCTGAGGAAAGGGACTTGGGGGTGCTGGTGGATGAGAAGCTGGACATGAGCAGGCAGTGGGCAGCTGCAGGCCAGAAGGTCAATCCCATCCTGGGCTGCATCAAAAGAAGTGTTGCCAGCAGGTCCAGAGAGGGGATTCTGCCATTTTACTCTGCTCTGGTGAGACCTCACCTGGAGTATTGTGTGCAGGTCTGGAGCCCTCAATATAAGAAGGACATGGACCTGATGGAGAGGGTCCAGAGGAGGGCCACGAGGATGATCAGGGGGATGGAGCACCTCTGCTCCGAGGACAGGCTGAGGGAGCTGGGGTTGTTCAGCCTGGAGAAGAGGAGGCTCCGGGGAGACCTAATAGCAGCCTTCCAGTACCTGAAGGGAGCCTACAGGAAGGCTGGGGAGAGCCTGTTTAGAAAGGCCTGCAGTGACAGGACGAGGGGCAATGGCTTCAAGCTGGAGGGGAACAGCTTTAGACTGGAGATGAGGAGAGGGTTCTTCACTGGGAGGGTGGTGGAGCACTGGAACAGGTTGCCCAGGGAGGTGGTTGAGGCCCCATCCCTGGAGATATTCAAGGAGAGGCTCGACGAGGCCCTGGGCAACCTGGTCTAGTTGGGGGTGTCCCTGCTGACTGCGGGGGGGTGGGACTAGATGGCCTTTGGAGGTCCCTTCCAGCCTGGGCAATTCTATGATGATTCTATGATTCTATGATCTGAAGGGTTGAGCAGGGTGAGCAAGGTCCTCCCTCGCAACGGGGCAGGGATTAGGGGAGGAAAGGGGGGCGTGGGTGCAGGGGAAGGTGTGGGTGCTGCGTCCCCCGTGGCTGAGCCCCCGCTGCCCCCCACAGAACGGGAACATCACCGAGCTCCTGCTGAAGGAGGGCTTTGCCCGCTGCGTGGACTGGTCCATCGCCGTCTACACCCGCGGGGCCGACAAGCTGCGGGCGGCCGAGAGGTGAGTCCCACACTGGCCACGCTCCCACCTGGAGCCGTGGGGCACCCGGGGTGACTCCAGCCCCCTCTCCCCACCCCTCTGTGGGGCTCCCCCCACCCCGTGCTCTCCCGGCTGGGAGGGAGCTATGATCTCTCCTTGCACATCTACATGAGTCCTCCTGCCTCTGGGCTTTGCTGGGTGATTTAATGTAAGGCAAGGTTGTCCCTGCTGGGGACCTGAGCCCTGGCATCACGTCTGTCTGTCTGTGTGTGTCCCCCCCCCTCCCAGGTTCGCCAAGGAGCGCAAGCTGAGGATCTGGAGGGATTACGTGGCCCCCACGGCCAACCTGGATCAGAAGGACAAGCAGTTTGTAGCCAAGGTGAGGGGCTGGAGGAGCAGGGGATGGGGCGGGCAGGGTCTGGCTGCGTGGGGACGGAGGGCAGGGGGGGCTGGATGCCCTTCCTCACCCCTGTGTGTGCCCGGGCAAACCCTGGAGGGTGTTTTCTCAGCTCCATCCCCACCACGGATCGAGGTTCACGACCGACAAGGATGGTGTGTGCCATGATGTGGGGCAAGGATGGTGTGCGCCTTGATGTGGGGCAGGGGCTGGGGTGGGAAGAGGTGAAACAGGGGAGGGGAAGGGTCTGCGGTGGGTGGGGAAGGGCTGGTGGGCATCACCCCAGCTGGCGGGGATGCTCTCCCCCTGCCTGCCCCCCTCTCCTGCCTGCGAGGGCGGTTTGGGCTCAGCAATTTTCCTTCCCCCCCTCCTTGCCTGCCTTCCCAGCGCGGTGTCCAGCCCCACGGCAGCCCCTGCGCCCCGATCCTGGGAGGGGGGGCTACTGGGTGTGGGGCTGTGGGGCAGAGCCCCCTGGCTAGCACCTCCCTGCAGCAACTGGCCCGATTTTGGAGCCTCGCTAGCCCCGCAGAGCTCTGGGGGTGCCACCCTGGAGCGGGGAGCACCCCACTAGATGGTGCTGCCGCCTCGCCCGCCGCCGCCGTCGCTCCCGCTCCGCTCCCAAACCCCGGGAAATGGGGAAATGGGCAGCAGCTGCAGTTCTTGGAAAGTCGGCTGAACCCCCCCCAGCCCCCCCCCCGGGTCACATCCTGCCCCCGAGCATCCCTCCAGCGCAGGGAGCCAGGGATGGGAGCAAGGGGCTGCTCCTGGGGAGATTCTGCTTCCCTGCCTCTTCCCTCTGCTTCCCTGCTCTTTCTACTCCTTTCTTCCTCCTTCCTTGCTTCTTTCCTCTGCTTCCCTGCTCCTTCTGTCCTTTCCCTGCTTTTCCCCCACTCCTTCCCCACTTTTCCCCTGCTCCTTCTCTGCTCTTTCTACTCCTTTCTTCCTCCTTTCTTCCTCCTTCCCTGCTCCTTCCCTGCTTCTTCTGCCCTTTCCCTGCTTTTCCCCCGCACCTTCCCCACGTTTCCCCTGCTCGTTCCCTGCTCGTTCCCTGCTCGTTCCCTGCTCGTTCTTCCTCCTTTCTTCCTCCTTTCTTCCTCCTTTCTTCCTCCTTTCTTCCTCCTTTCTTCCTCCTTTCTTCCTCCTTTCTTCCTCCTTTCTTCCTCCTTTCTTCCTCCTTTCTTCCTCCTTTCTTCCTCCTTTCTTCCTCCTTTCTTCCTCCTTTCTTCCTCCTTTCTTCCTCCTTTCTTCCTCCTTTCTTCCTCCTTTCTTCCTCCTTTCTTCCTCCTTTCTTCCTCCTTCCCTGCTCCTTCTGTCCTTTCCCTGCTTTTCCCCCGCTCCTTCCCCACTTTTCCCCTGCTCCTTCCCTGCTCCTTCTGCCCCTTCCCTCTTTTCCCCTGCTCCTTCCCCACTCTTTCTGCTTCTTCCTTGCTCCTTCCTTCTCCTTCCCTATTTTTTTCTCTGCTTCTTCCCTCTGCTTCTCTACTCTTTCCTTACTTCTTCCTCACTCTTTCCTCCCTCCTTCCTTCTACTTCCCTGCTTTTTCTCTGCTCCTTTTCCTGCTCCTTCCTGGCTCTTTTCCTGCTCTTTTCCTGCTCCTTCCTTGCTCCTTCCTTCTGCTTCCCTGCTTTTTCTGTGCTTCTTTCCTCCACTTCTCTCCTCTTTCCTCACTCTTTCCTCCCTCCTTCCCTCTGCTTCTCTGCTTCTTCCCGCTCCTTTCCCGCTCCTCCTCTGCTTCTTCCCTCTTCTTCTCCTGCCTCTTCCCTCTCCTTCCCCACTCTTTGCCCTGCTCCTTCCCGCTCCTTCCTTTCTCCTTCTCTCTTCTTCCCCTGCCCTTTCCCTCTCCTTCCCCTTCCCCTCTCTTTTCTCTGCTCCTTCCCCACCTGTCTCTGCCGTGGGGCAAATGGGCCGGGGGCAGATTGTCCGGTGATGCCAGGCAGGACCATCCCCTTAATGAACTCCCCCATGCGGTGCCAACACCGGGGCTCTGCGTGGCAGCTCCCGTCCCATGGGACGAGGCTGGGGAGGGGGTGTGTGCCCGTTAGATGTGGGTTGGTAGTCGTGGTGGTCCCCCAAAAAACTTCCCACCAGCTTCCAGGGCTGTGCTGGGCAGGCCAGAGAGGTGGGGGGAGAGGAACCTGATGGAATTCAACGAGGGCAAGTGCAGGGTGATGCTCCTGGGGAGGAATCACCCCCTGCACCAGGACAGGTTGGGGGGGACCTGCTGGAGAGCAGCTCTGGGGAGAAAGACCTGGGAGTCCTGGGGGACACCAGGATGCCCAGGAGCCAGCAATGGGCCCTGGTGGCCAAGAAGGCCAAGGGCATCCTGGGGGCCATCAAGAAGAGCGTGGCCAGCAGGTGGAGGGAGGTCATCCTGCCCCTCTGCTCTGCCCTGGGGAGGCCCCAGCTGGAGCACTGGGACCAGTGCTGGGCTCCCCAGTTACACACGGGCAGGGAAGTGGTGGAGAGGGCAGAGCAAAGGGCTGCCAAGATGGCGAGGGGCCTAGAGCATCTCTGTGCTGAGGAAAGGCTTAGGAACTTGGGTGTGTTTAGTGTGGAGAAGAGCAGAGGGAGGGGGGATGTGCTCAAGGCCTGGCAATCCTTCCAGGGTGGGTGTCAGGAGGATGGGGCCAGGCTTTTCCCAGTGGTGCCCAGGGCCAGGCCAAGAGGGAACGGGCACCAACTGGAGCAGGGGAAGCTCCATGGGAACACCCTGAGGAGGCCGTTGTTTGGTGTGAGGGTGGCAGAGGCCTGGCAGAGGCTGCCCAGAGAGGTGGTGGAGTCTCCTTCTCTGGAGACATTGCAACCCCCCTGGAGACGTTGCTGTGGGAGCTGCTGTGGGTGCCCCTGCTCTGGCCGGGGGTTGGCCTGGGTGCTCTCCAGAGGTCCCTGCCAACCCCACGTGTGATTCCCCCACTGGTGGATGGTTCACTGGGCGTATGACCATGCCCCCCCCCAATTCCCAATCCCAGGGAGCATCCCCTTGGGGAGAAGGACCCCATTTGGACCCGTGATCGTTGCGGAGAGGTGGGGGGGGAGCAAATTCCTTCTCCCCCCTCCCCGGGTGGGCGCAGGGGTGGCCGTGCCAAGGCGCTGGCTGGCTGGGAAGCGCTTTCCCTGCCGCTGGCATGGAGCTGCTGCCGGAGCCGGCGCCAGGAGCCGGCACGGGGGCCGTTAGTCATGCCTCGCTCAGCAGCTTGCCGAGGGGGCGGCAGGACGCTGCTGGCATTTCCAAGGCGCCCGTCATTTGGTTGGGAGAGCTGGCACGCAGGCTCGGGCAGGTCCCTCGTCCCCACGCCCCCGGCAAGGTGGAGGGGGGGGGGAAAAAAACAGAAAAAAAAAAAAACCCACCAAAAAACCCAAAAGTGGTTTTTTTCTTCTGAGCTTGGGGGCTCAATGGTGGCATCTCCAGCCCTCGTGGGGCAGCCGTCCCTCCGGCAGCGGTGGGGACCCCGAGGTGGGGGCTGCATCCCAGGGCAGAGCAGGCAGGATGGCCCCCCCCCGGCTTCTGGGTACAGCCCCTCGCTCTGCCGGGGTCCCCCCAAAGTCTGGGGGGCACTCAGCAGCCCCCCCTCCCCATCTCGCAGCATCCCGGGGTGGGTTTGGCTCCATTGAGACCCCCCGGAATGCGGTGAGCACCCCGAGAGGCAGAATTTCTGCGCTTTGGGTTAAAACCTGCTCTTTCCGCAGGCTTCTGCAAATCAGCGTTTAGGGAGCCATCAGC